TCTTACTGTCAGTATGTAACCCTTGTCTCACTGTAAGTATGTATCCAGTGTATCAGTGTTTGTATGTTTCCAGTGTCTCACTGTCAGTATGTATCCAGTGTCTCACTGTCAGTACGTAGCCAGTGTCACACTGTCAGTATGTATCCAGTGTCTCACTGTTAGTTTGTATCCCCAGTGTCTCAGTGTCAGTATGTATCCAGTGTCTCAGTGTCAGTATGTATCCAGTGTCTCACTGTTAGTATGTATCCAGTGTCTCAGTGTTAGTATGTATCCAGTGTCTCACTGTCAGTATGTATCCAGTGTCTCACTGTCAGTATGTATCCAATGTCTCAGTGTTAGTATGTATCAAGTGTCTCACTGTCAGTATGTATCCAGTGTCTCAGTGTTAGTATGTATCCAGTGTCTCACTGTCAGTATGTATCCAGTGTCTCACTGTCAGTATGTATCCAGTGTCTCACTGTCAGTATGTATCCAGTGTCTCACTGTCAGTATGTATCCCCAGTTTCCTACTGTCAGTATGTATCCAGTGTCTTAGTGTCAATATGTATCCAGTGTCTCACTGTTTGTATGTATACCCAGTTTCTCACTGTCAGTATGTATCCAATGTCTCAGTATTAGTATGTATCCAGTTTCTCACTGTCAGTATGTATCCAGTGTCTCACTGTTAGTTTGTATCCCCAGTGTCTCACTGTCAGTATGTATCCAGTGTCTCAGTGTTTGTATGTTTCCAGTCACACACTGTCAGTATGTATCCCCACTTTCTCACTGTCAGTATGTACCCAGTGTCTCACTGTCAGTATGTATCCAGTTTCTCACTGTCAGTATGTATCCAGTGTCTCACTGTCAGTATGTATCCAGTGTCTCACTGTCAGTATGTATCCAGTGTCTCACTGTCAGTATGTATCCCCAGTTTCCTACTGTCAGTATGTATCCAGTGTCTTAGTGTCAATATGTATCCAGTGTCTCACTGTTTGTATGTATACCCAGTTTCTCACTGTCAGTATGTATCCAATGTCTCAATATTAGTATGTATCCAGTTTCTCACTGTCAGTATGTATCCAGTGTCTCACTGTTAGTTTGTATCCCCAGTGTCTCACTGTCAGTATGTATCCAGTGTCTCAGTGTTTGTATGTTTCCAGTCACTCACTGTCAGTATGTATCCCCACTTTCTCACTGTCAGTATGTACCCAGTGTCTCACTGTCAGTATGTATCCAGTTTCTCACTGTCAGTATGTATCCAGTGTCTCACTGTCAGTATGTATCCAGTGTCTCACTGTCAGTATGTATCCAGTGTCTCACTGTCAGTATGTATCCCCAGTTTCCTACTGTCAGTATGTATCCAGTGTCTTAGTGTCAATATGTATCCAGTGTCTCACTGTTTGTATGTATACCCAGTTTCTCACTGTCAGTATGTATCCAATGTCTCAGTATAAGTATGTATCCAGTTTCTCACTGTCAGTATGTATCCAGTGTCTCACTGTTAGTTTGTATCCCCAGTGTCTCACTGTCAGTATGTATCCAGTGTCTCAGTGTTTGTATGTTTCCAGTCACTCACTGTCAGTATGTATCCCCACTTTCTCACTGTCAGTATGTACCCAGTGTCTCACTGTCAGTATGTATCCAGTGTCTCAGTGTTTGTATGTTTCCAGTGTCTCACTGTCAGTATGTATCCAGTGTCTCACTGTTAGTATGTATCCAGTTTCTCAATGTCAGTATGTATCCAGTGCCACACTGTTAGTTTGTATCCCCAGTGTCTCACTGTCAGTATGTATCCAGTGTCTCACTGTCAGTATGTATCCAGTGTCTCAGTGTCAGTATGTATCCAGTGTCTCACTGTCAGTATGTATCCAGTGTCTCAGTGTTTGTATGTTTCCAGTCACTCACTGTTAGTATGTATCCCAAGGCTTCTCACTGTCAGTATGTACCCAGTGTATCACTGTCAGTATGTATCCAGTTTCTCACTGTCAGTATGTATCCAATGTCTCGGTGTTAGTATGTATCCAGTGTCTCAGTGTTAGTATGTATCCAGTGTCTCACTGTCAGTGTGTATCCAGTGTCTCACTGTCAGTATGTATCCCCAGTCACTCACTGTCAGTATGTATCCAGTGTCTCACTGTAAGTATGTATCCAGTGTATCAGTGTTTGTATGTTTCCAGTGTCTCACTGTCAGTATGTATCCAGTGTCTCACTGTTAGTTTGTATCCCCAGTGTCTCAGTTTCAGTATGTATCCAGTGTCTCACTGTCAGTATGTATCCAGTGTCTCAGTGTTAGTATGTATCCAGTGTCTCACTGTCAGTATGTATCCAGTGTCTCACTGTCAGTATGTATCCAATGTCTCAGTGTTAGAATGTTTCCAGTGTCTCACTGTCAGTATGTATCCAGTGTCTCACTGTCAGTATGTATCCAGTGTCTGACTATCAGTATGTATCCAGTGTCTCACTGTCAGTATGTATCCAGTGTCACACTGTCAGTATGTACCCAGTGTCTCAGTGTCAGTATGTATCCAGTGTCTCACTGTTAGTATGTATCCCCAGTGTCTAACTGTAAGTATGTATCCAGTGTCTCAGTGTTTGTATGTTTCAAGTGCCTCAGTGTCAGTATGTATCCAGTGTCTCACTGTCAGTATGTATCCAGTGTCTCACTGTCAGTATGTATCCAGTGTCTCATTGTTAGTATGTATCCAGTGTCTCACTGTCAGTATGTATCCAGTGTCACACTGTCAGTATGTATCCAGTGTCTCAGTGTCAGTATGTATCCAGTGTCTCACTGTCAGAATGTATCCAGTGTTTCACTGTCAGTGTGTATCCAGTGTCTAGTGTATCCAGTGTGTATAACAGGCTTTGAACAGTACTCTGTTATATCAAAGCGTGTCAACTTGATGTGGGAAGAAAGCCCGACGTGCTGCATGTTTCAGACGTTTACCACTTTTTGCAAAACCAGCGAGCATGGTATGGTGCTGACAAATCATGAAACATAATCGGGGTGACTCAGGTTTCGAACCCATAGTATGGCTCGTCAAAGGGACGAAACTGTGCACAGTGACTTACAGCGCCTAGACGCCTGGGCGTGTAGAACACTTTAAAACTTGTACTTCATGTCATGTTATTTCAAGTTATGTTTCAAACACTCTCCCCCACACTCTCTCACCCTCGTTCAGAGCTTCTTTTCTCTGTGTTTGGCGATAGCTTGACTGCCGAGGATCGCCCTGCGGTTCTTCATAACAGTCTGTAGGTCTGCTTGAATGCTACACAACGTCAAAAACACCTCGTTAGTGTGGGCCCATTCGGGAGTAGTTGAGGGCATCGGTACAGGACCAGGGGGAGATAACTCTGGCAGTACAATGACGTCACTTCCGGTTCCGGTGGTGCACGCCTCCAAGATGGCGGCATTTTCATTTCCGGAAGGCTCGCGCACCTCCAAGAGGGTGGCACATCCGTTTCCGGGGAGGAGGCGACCATAAAAAGCGCTCGTAAAATATGAAAATATCTCAAAATAAAAAGAAGCGCATGTAAAAACCTTTATGTACATTTTTTGTTCTTTTAAAAAAAAGAAGAAGTGGTGGTGGTGGTGGTGGCGATTCCCATCCTAAAAAAAGACAACACAACACATTGTTTTTTTCAACATTTTAATCCCCCGCTCACATGAAGCAACACAACAAAACAAAAGCCACAGGATTAGGGGCGTCCCTGTGATTTTTGTGATTTTTTTTCCTTTTTACCACTAGGGTGTGAACCTATGTACACCCCTTAAACGCAGTGAACAGGAACTTTGTCACTTGGGTGTGAACGTATGTACATTCCTACCATGCAGTGAACATATGTACACTCCTCAAACAGGAACGTTGACAGTCAGGTGATCGTAGGTTCAGTGAACAAGTGTCAGGTCAATAAGGGCAGAAAGGTTGGTTCTTTTGATGTAGGGTACGCGTCTGGGCACTCAGTCGAAAGGCAGGCATCTCATCCACAGGAATGGAGGTAGACACTTTGGTATGAAACCATGCTAATACCTTGGCATCATTCTTGCAGTGTCCTTCCAGTCCAACGTATCTAACAGTTGATTAAAAGTCCAACCACGCACGCGATAGGTTTTCCAAACTGGACTGACCCTTGTGTTTCTTTTCCATAGGAAATTGTATGGGTCATGGGAGAGAAAGTGTGTGTGTGTGTGTGTGTGTGTGTGTGTGTGTGTGTGTGTGTGTGTGTTTGAAAAGAGAAAGGCAATGCTTAAAGGATCAGTTGCCTTGTAAGACGTCAGGGAGTCCACATCGTGTTCAGACTGTGGGAAGACATTTTCTAGAAGAGATGCCTTACTTCGTCATAAAAAACACGTCCATGGCTTATCACCAACACCATCACCCTTGTGACCAGTGACATCACCGCTTAGGGGTCGCTCTTGAGTTTGTGCACAGCATGAAAGAAGCGGATCGTGCCTTTCCCGAAAAAGGGGTGGCCCCGCATTGGCTGGTCATCGATGATTTGCTGGGCGACAATACGAAAGAAGAAGAAACGGAAGTGCTGCGATGGTTTACCAAGAAAAGTCATCACCGAAACACATCCGTGCTGTATCTCACTCAGAACTTGTTTGCTCAATCGCTGCAACATCGCACCATCAGTCTGAATGCTCACTACATGGTCCTCTTTAAAAATCCGAGATGCATCGCAGATCGACAGTCTGGCTCGCCAGGTGTTTCCTGGCAAAGTTCCTTTTCTACGTGAAGCCTATGAAGACGTCACCCGAGCGCCTTACACTTACCTGTTCTTGGACTTGAAGCCCACCACATTGCAAGACCATCGCGTATGCGCCCGCCTGTTCTCGAGATCCGAATTACCCCTCGTGTTTGTGCCGGTCCTATGAGATGTTGAGACTTTCATAAAAGCAGGCAAACCCGCTGACCTTCCTTCAGTTGAGCCACAGTCATCATGGGGCAAAGACGGAAACAGGTTCATCCTACGAAGGGAAAGAACAAAGACCAAGAGATGATGAATGATGTCTTTGACAGTATGGTCTCCCCCTCATCGCTACAGGGACTTGTGACCTCTGCATTTCACAAGACTCCTTCACCAGGATCATCTTCCTCTTCAATGGTACCCGTGAACATGCATCTTCAGCAGCAGCCACCACCACGTCCTTCAACATCATCAGCACCCTCGCCACCCTCGTCACCACATGATCTTCAACGCTTTCAACCTCTGCAGCAGCAGCAGCAGCAGCAGAAGTCCCCGCCAGGCACGTCTTAACTCTTCGATGGTACCTTTGAACAAGCATCGTCAGGAACAACAACGCCCTTCCTCATCAGCACCCTCGTCACCCTCGCCACCACTCAATCTTCAACGCTTTCAACGTCTGCAGCAGCAGAAGTCCCCACGAAAGAAGAAAAAAGGCAAGAGACCATCTATTTTTCCGACAAGGGATGCGACAACCCTTGCCGTCAAAGGAAGAAATCGGCTTTTGCAGTGCTTTGCGATTGTCGTGCGGAACCTGAGAGACATAATGATACCCTGACTAAAATTGTCAATCCACGTCTGCCAGTGGATGAACGTCTTAGCTACCTGATGCACGCAGTGGTAGTGGAACACTTGCAGGGGTCTTGACATGCATTCTATTGCAATGGCAACATTATCGTCAAGCACCAATCAACAAACAGGGTAACACCAGGCACCACCGACCTACAACAACAACAACAATGACTAATAAGCCAAAAGTAAAGGCTCATGAAAATCTCATGAAAGCGTATCAAGCTGATGCTCGCAGACGATTGGCGCACATGCGGAACCCAAAGAAAGTCCAAGAAGGCAGATCAACAGTTGCAACTCCCTCCTGCCACTGCCTGTTTAAAGAGAGAAGCTGCAGATCAGGTGCCTCATTCAGGCTAACACCTCCATGCAGGAAAGATGTCTCTGTGCCACAGGAAACAGAAACATGCTCTGTGTCATTTGTGTTCTGCCGCTCCAGCGATGCGCAAAGCCATTCTCAAACATGCTCCTACCGATCTCATCCCTGCCCTTTGTGAATGTGTGGTGAACTTGTATGCAGGCAATATTCCCATGACCACGACTCAACGTCAAAACTTGCAACGACACGGTAAAGACTTGAATACGCTCATGAAAAAACAAGTACCTCTAAAAAGAAAAGTAAACTTCTTCAACATGGAGGAGGATTATTAGGAGGACTCATTCCCCTTATTGGTTCTGCCCTAGCCTCTTTGTTTGGAGGAAAGTAATAAATTGTCTGACACCAGGAAGGTTGGGATCAGTGTGTGGTGTGCCACCATGAAGTACGCATGCAAGATGGTGTTGGTGCCTGAATACACATGGCAAAGTCTATGGCAAAAAATTTGGAAGAGATCGACGCGTTGAAGCAGAGGTCACAGCAGCCTTTTCACATGCGGGAACAAGAATACAAGCAACTGTTGCAACGCATGCTAGAGTTGCAGCGCCAACAGCGCAACAACAACAACACCATCAAACCACTACAACACAAAGTGACACCACCACCACCATCGCCATCACCATCAACAATGGACACCACAGGTAGACCTGCCCCTCCTCAACAAGTGATAGACGAAGTGGTCATGAGTGTCCCTAAAGCCATGTCCAGTAAAGCCATAAATTTGATGACAAGGATTCAAAACAATCCCGACTTGAGTTGGACTCCAGAGGGAACGCTGACCGTGAAAGGGAAACCTGTCCCTGGCACACACATGGTGGACTTCACAACGATTTAGTGCGTCAACAGTCATGTCCCTCATGAAATGATCGGAAATCCTCAATGATGGCAATGGATGCAGAAGCAGCAGCAGCAGCAACACAATCCTCACGCCACACCAAAAACACCCAATAGCAAGTTCCCCCTCCCAAAGTTCTCCCCACAAAGTCACAAAGAGAGAAGAAGAAGGAGGCGGCGGCAGCTGGATCCACAAGCGGAAGAAGAAGAAGAAGATGAGATGCCACCCCCACCTCCTTCACGACAGCTGGATCCACAAGAGGAAAAAGATGAGATGCCAACCCCACGATTGATGACCCCTCCTCCGCCTGATACCAAACAGGACAAATTCATCAACAGGCGAGGTTCATGGATACCCTTTAGCTCCCCTCTCTATAAAAAGGCCATTCATGTACTGAGTGGCATCATTCTGAGAGAAATGAAGCGACAGACCAAGACACGACAGCGCATTCTTCCCTCTGCTGCTGCAGGGAAACAAAACAAAGGATTTCCTACTTCCCTTTGGACGGCCAGGTTGGAAAAAACCTACTTTCATCCTGAACATCCTGCAAGTTTCTGAGGCTGGCAACCTTTGTGGAAAGCAGCACGCATCCACGCTCAAGATGCAAGAACCAGTAAAAGCAAGAAGAAAACCATGCCATCGCAAAGTCAAATCAAGCGTTGGTTGCAAACCCAAAGTACCTGCACCTTGCACAAACCAGCCAGACATTCCTTTCCGAGAGACTACTATCATGTGGGAGGCGTCGATGAATTGTGGCAAGCAGACTTGAGTGACATGATTGCCTTTCAAGACGACAACCAAGGATTCAAATATCTGCTGTGATCAATGTGTTTTCAAAGATGGCATGGGTGCAACCCCTGAAGGCCAAGAGCAGTTCAGCTTTGACCGAAGGTTTTCAAACCTTGCTGATGCAACAAGCCAAAGACTCCCTGCTCAATTGCAAACAGACAAAGGCAGAGAATTTGTCAACCGCCCTTTCCAGGCTCTCATGACGAAGCATGGCATTCATTTCTACACCAGTCAAAATCCTGAAACGAAAGCAGCCGTGGTTGAACGGTTTCAAAGGAATGTGGCAATACTTTACACAGCATGGGACCAGACACTATTTGAAAGTCTTACCCCAGTTGGTCAAGTCATACAACGGTTGTGTGCATTGGACCATTGGTCAGTGACCTGTGGACATCCTCCCAGGAGATCCCCAGTCAGAAATTTGGGTGTTAGACTACATGGAGGAACAACAACAACGGCCGCAGCGCAAAAAGAAAATAACAACACAAAAACTGTCGTCCCCCAAGACAAGATCCCTCTCTCTTTAAATGCTGGGCACCCGTGTACGCCTGATCAAAACCAAAGGCACCTTTGAGAAAGGTTATCTCCCCAACTGGATCACTGAACTGTTTACGGTGGACCGGTTGGTGACAGGGAGAACACTTCCTGTGTATCGGATCAAAGATGATCATGGTGAAGTCCTGCAAGGAACCTTTTACCCTGAAGAAATACAACCTATCTTGAAAACAGACGATGTGTATGCCGTGGATCACGTGCTGAAAAGACGTCCAGGACCGAAACAGGGTCAAGAAGAGGTCTTGGTGAAATGGACTGGCTACCCTGCCAGTTTTAATTCGTGGATCCCTGCAGATCATTTACAGATAAAATAAGGAGCATGCTGTCACTCAGACTCATTCAGAGGGTGGACACACGCGATGACAGAACCGCCACCACCACCGCCACCCCTGCAGAGAAGCCTCTCAGCATCCGTGGGTACCGATGAACCTCCCCTTGCTGCTGCACCACGTCATCACCAGCACCGACACTTACCTTGGTGTTGTTTTGGCATGACTTTACCAAGCAGTGAAGTCGTGTTTTTTGCTCAGATCATTGTGATGTATGGCGTGATCATCATGAGCATGGTACAATTGGCCTTGGATCACGGAGAGAAACACTTGTGGACAGCCCTGCTCTCTACTTCCACCATCCACCTTGGCCTCCTCACCAGTCGACCTCACCCACCAGAAGACTTCAACTTGAAACCTCATCCACCCAGAGTTTTCTACCCTAGCTCATGTCATCATGGCTGCCACTTTTTTTTCGAAACAAGACTTTTACATGACCCTGCCCAGTGATGCCTATCCAAACAACACTGTCAATGCGTATGAAATCAAGTTGCCTTATCCTCTGCATCTGGATCGCCAACAGTGGGAGGTGGGTGTCAGCGAAATTCACTTTCCGATGACATGGTACAACGTCGCCCCACCCTTTGACTGGTTTGCGCTGAACCTCAAACTGAAAAAAGACACCCTTGTGTATGAAAGCGCAGGGAGCACTAAAACCACAGCCACAGTATGGTGTCGTCAATTACGAAAGCAAGAAAATTCCTATCAAAAAAGGCGTCTATTCATATGAAGATTTGGTGAAAACCCTGAACCGTTTGATTCAGGAACATATACTGAACACCAAAAGAAACGCGAAATCTTCAAGTTCCTATTTAATATGGGAAAATGGTTGTGAAAACTGTTGGCTGCTATGGCTCCATTGTAATGGGCTTTAATTGTTTCAAAATGACCCTAACCAGAGTTAAGGGCAGTGAACTCTTAATCCACAGCGCTCAAAGGCACCGACGTTGAAGTCAGTGTGGGGTGGATACGCACGAAATGCATGTGCTGCTTATGCCGCAAACCTGTCCATGAAGATGTTGTCTTTAAAAGCCACGAAAGTGTCACTGTGAATCATTCACTCATCAACGTCAGTGACAATGCCACGACTGTCACAGATCGAGAGAGAGAGAGCTATTGGGCAACTTCAAGCTGGTGAGAGTGTTAAGAGAGTTGCAAACACCTTTAACGTCTACGTTTCCACCATCTACCGTCTGCAGGAAAGATTCCAGACAACCAACAGCACCAGAGAGAGGCATCGTACCAGCAGACACAACGTCAGGACCATCACATTCACAGGTCACATGTGCAAGAACGTTTCTTGTCGGCCAGTGCAACTGCTAGGAACGTCGTTGGAAACCACAGGAGGGCTGTAAGTTCCAACACAGTAAGACGGCGACTTCGTGACAGAGGGCTTCAGTGTAGGTGAACATCACAAGGTCCTGTTCTCACTCAATGTCACCGTCTCCTGAGACTACAGTGGGCCCAAGCACGCTTGAATTGGCGTCATCAGCAGTGGAGAAGAGTTCTGTTCTCTGATGAAAGTCGGTATTGTGTTGGGGGGATGTCAAGTATCCCCAAGATAGTCTTTGATTTGACATGATTGAAGATGGAAAGGTGCGATTCCAAGCCCCTGAAGAAGTAACAATCAATCATCCTCTCATGGGAAATACTGGTGGACCACACTATTCCACAGAAGTGATCATGCCAAGTCCACTCTCGAGAATGCTCGGATTTTTTCAACTACCGCTCCGCGGTGAGGAGGACTATAAAACCTACACAGAGACGCCCGTT